CCCTCAAAATTCGCAATGCCGCTTATCATATGTTCGGAGTTTGTCCCTCGCCCTACGGTTGTCTCATTGTTTAACCATTCCCCTGATATAGGAAAATCGGTGTAGCTGTGGCCAACCAATCGGAGTCCCGCAAGGGCGAAGCGCAAGCCTCACCCATACGGTCAGCGCGCTATGTGAATTCAAAGATTTTCAGCAAATTTTCTTTGTTCTCTCAATTTTTCTTTTTTTTCTTCCCTTTCGCTTCTTCAGTACTTCTGAACCAATCGCCGCAATTGCTTGAGTTTTCGTGCGCAATAACCCATACCCATTGAGTCGCGTAATGTGCCTTTAAAATACATATGTTTAATCGAATCGATATCGATCGATGGTCCTATATTTACAACCAAAGTGTGACATCCCCCTCATACTTACTCATCCCTTGATCCGTAAAAGTAAAAAATTGAAGTTTGGATAGTGTCTCTATCTGATGTTGAGAGATATGCGACTACATGTGACAAAGGCTTGCAGTTGACAGCGAGGTCCTTTATAGGCCTATGCAAGATAGAATTATCGAATTTACACGAAATCCTCCAGCTCAAAAGTTCGATTTTAGAAACGTCTTTCGTTTGGTGTTGATGATCTCATCCCGCCAGCGACGCTAAATGGTGATTTTATGCAGCACAGAGATCCGGCGGATTCGATTCGGATTTTGGCGGTGAGAAAAACCTCTTTTTTTTGGAAGTCGATGTTCTAGCGCTTCCGAAACACCTGAATGGAAGAATGCCAAGACTACTACGTTAATCATTGTTTAGATTTGGGCCCTGCTTCTGCATTGTCCTTCTGTTGTTCGATGTCTTTGCGCGTTCTCTGATCAACCTGTCGCGTTCTCTTTGGTGCTGTCAAGATTGGCAAAGTCGTTGGCTCGAGAGGTTGCATACATCAATCGATAATTGATTTATTTCACCTTCTGTATTTAATGTATCGATTTAGTCGCATGACTGGTTCTTCTACGAGGAATCGTTGCTGAAACTCGCCGATTCACTGTCGAATTCGGCGGTGGCATTGGTCTCAAAAGTACACAAAGTCTCACCTAACAAGGCTTATCGACTACTCTGCCAACCGCTCGAGGGTTTCCACGGAGCCACTTTGTCACAGCTCGCATTCCAGGTAAGATAAACTTGTAGCCTAGCGATTCTTCCGTCTTAGGCTCTGTATTTCAGTTCAACAATCGAGGGCTCATCGCTCATGAGTCCATGCCAACGCTGGCTTCACCGCCTTCTTTACGGTCAACTCCAGACATGCTCATCGAGAGTTCTGCCACGGTGGTTGAAAACGCTTTTTGCAGGTTATTACTTGCTTCAAATAGCTCCTCGTCACGGATTAGGGGCTGCCGTCCGGCCTAAATTCCTACAGTAAAACCTTGAAAACCAGGAAAAGGAACCTTGTGTGTTCGGACGGTTTCCTTGTACTACTGCGCTCGGACATCTATGATTGACACCTGGATATACCCAGGCATTTCATCGCACCGCGCCAGCTTCATTTCCATTTTAGGCCATGTTGCGGAGCGTATCGGTGGGCGGAGCTTGTGCAAGGGTCGAACTATTTAGACACGTATTAGAGTATTTTTTGCCTGAGCATTTGTGTTGAAATGTAGAACTTTCTAAAAGCGTAATAGACGCAAAACGAGTGGTATTCCTGTTTCCTGTGATCTTGTCCCACTGTGAGTCCGCCTCCCGCAAGCAAACCACAAGAGCCTTGTATTTCTCAGCTGTTTCTTAAATTCGAAGAAAAATGCGTACGTTTGTTCGATGACCATTTCGTTTCATTCTCGTAGTTCTGGCTATTGTACTAATCCATGGCGTATGTTCTGAGAACGGGAAATTTCCTTTTCAGCCGTATTTGTTATTCCGATTCGTTGGTGGATATGCGTTCGAACCAACGGCATCTCAACACAGTTGTATGGCTCTGACAAGAAATCGCCGACAGCAGCGCTTCTTGANGTGGANANNNNANCGANGCGTGTTCGAGNTGTATCTACATANAGGTGATTTCTGCTTCTTTATTTTTTATTCGGTTGTTTGTTTATTTACTTATTTATATTTAATTGTTTACTTATTTATTTCTCTGCCTTATCTTTGATTTTTTTCATTTATGCCATGGCCAAAACGAGCTGGGCGAGGTTGTGTACCGGGCGCCGCAACCCTTTTTCCCCGTCTGAAGTACTGAATCCGACTCGGTCAAGTGTGGTGGGGATGGGTGTCGGGTGGGTTTCAGCCCACTAGCTTTGCTTGTGAGCAGAAGTTAGGCTCCGCCCACTTTGCAAACTTCAACCACAAAAGACTCACTCGTTTTACTCACTGATACACGCGTTTTCATGACACATATCTGCATGGTATATAGAAACATGTAAAGCTTTGGCCTCACGGACTCCGCCCACTTGCAAGTCCAACCTACATTTTCGATCTATGTAGACAGTCCCACAAACAAGTGTTTGAGATGATAATAAATAGTACTGCCTTCAAGCTCGGCTTCAATCCGTATTTCACTGTAAAAATCCAACATGAATTTACCGTCTCCAACTTGTGTTCCAGCTTTTCAAGTGCGTGGCGCAACCATTTTTTGTTCAATAACAATTTTCAGTGTGATCTCTGGTCGTAGTGATGTGCTGAGTGCGGTGGGTGGCGGCCATTCGATGCCACATCTGGCTTTTACCGAATCGGTTACACCGCAATCAATGGTTTTTCCACTCAATATCGAGGATGTCGAGGGTGAAGATGCGCTTTTCACAAAGAAGGTAACCCAGCTTTCACTAGTTGTGAGAGTTTTGTACAGGGTGCGGAACGTTCCGAATTCCGATTTCCGATTTTCGGAAGTTTTAATGTAAAGAAAGTTGGAAAATAATGAAGTCTAACGCTTTATAAGAGCACTTCCTCCAGCTGCTTTCTGTAATTAATCAAATTTGCTAAAACTGAAGCAGATATCAACGAGTTGCGCTGATTTCGCGTCTACCTCAGTTTGACACCTGCTTAAGCGTTTGCCTTTATTCCGATTTCCGTGTTCCGTTTTACAGCCGCGTCCAATCAGCCGCCGAGCGCCGCCGTCATTGTGCCTCTTCTACTCAACTCCTATCGTCAAATACTGGCTATCGCTTCTGTTCCGATTACTTCATATAGCGCTTCTTGCCTATTCGGTAGGTTTCCAGAATAAACTTCAGCCAAATTTAGTCCATCTTATCGATGTTTCAAGATTTTATTGCCCGGTTGCGGTAACCTGACATTGGATGCGATTGTTTGGATGTGGACGTTTATCGCTTGGATTGAAGCGGTCTGGGTGCTCAACATGCGCAATCACACGACGCCGCTTTCGTTGATGCCGTGGCGGGTGAGAAATTTGAATTCGAGCGATCCACTCCTAATAAACTGCAGCTAGCTTATAATCGCGCTGAACTGTTGCCGCTATTGTCGGCCATATTTGAACCTTTAGCGTCGCTCAAGAAAAGACGCAATTAGACGCGAGCGGTTGCGATGCGTGCCCACTGACTAGCAATCGATGTCGCAATGTTTTCAGGTGTTCGACTGCGCACTTACGTTAGCGTTTTTGGTTTCGATGCTTCTATTCAAATTTGTTGGAGACAGTGTGGTTTCGGATTTCTTTGTAAGTTCAAACGAATTTTTTGAACACGTTGTATATTAGCCGATCGCAGTTTGACTTCTCCTACATCGGTACAAGAATAGCTCAAAGGTCAGCGAGGCATCCGTTCTGCATATACGCACCACCTCAACTATGCGTAATTAATAGGTAGTAGTATGAAAGATGAAGGCGTGTGTTGGTAAGTGGTGCCAGTTACACGTGCGCGATCTGTGCATCAAACCATGGTTGAGTCGCGTCGGGCTAACTGAGCCTTTCTCTTACCCTTGGGTTTATTGCGCTATGAACTATCGGGACTGTCCACGCTCACACGTCCTCTCCAATCGTTTGAATGGGGGTTCGTATTTGAGGTTGAGAAGGGTTAATCTCTCTTAGAAAATGCGAACAGGGGTGTGGTGCAGGGGATCTTCGTTGACGGTTGATGACGTTTTTTGCGGCAGCTCAAAACAACGAAATAACGTGAAATATTCAAAATTAGAGGATCTGCCGTTCGTTGGGTTCATTTAATCTTCCTTCCTCCCCACCGCCACCCCCGCTCGCTTGGGCCTTTTTGACGAGAAAGCGGGCGAGTGTCAACTGGTACCAGTCTCATGAAGCGAGGGTGGTATTCGTGGGTGATGGAGGGGTCGATTTGTGGTATTTACCCCTCCCCTTTCCCTCAAGTATGATGGAACAGGGTCCTTTGACATCGTATTGGAGTCCTTTTGAGGGGGGGTTCTGAATTATGACAACGATAAAACTCAGACATATCGCACGTCAGCTGACTTCCACGATTCATTGGGAAGTCAGTTAGTCTGGTGTTCAAATGTCACATAAAATCCCAGTGAAGGTTCTGGAGATGGAGGTTGTCAGAGATCTTTTAGACCGATGTCAGACTTTGCGAATCGCGCGATTCGCTAGCGTCTGCGGTTGCCGTCACGGCCCGTCACGGCCAGTGCATCATTCCATTGGCTGATACCGTAAACGCGACGCCTTGCGAACAGCTCGCGATCGCGCGATCGCATAGTTTAGCGGATCACGCGATCGCAAAGTCTACATCGGCCTTAGGATTCGCATTTTGTCTTTAAGTCGCAAACACGACCGAGAGAAGTTTTTCAATGGGGTAATCCTAACTGCTCATTTCACTTTGCAAAGGCTCTTTCCCAATCTTTTTTACACATGTTTTTGTCTACATTCCCGGAAGAAATTGACTTTTTCCTTTGATATTTTGTTCCATTCTTTTCTTTTGAATACTTTTCTTTCAGTTGCTTTCTACTGTGTATCCTGTACGGGTTTTGTCGTCTTTCTTTCTGCTCTATTGGTGCTATGCCACAATTTTCTTCTACATTCCTCTATCGGAACTATTTGGTCCAATTGTCGTCCGAGTGAAGCTGATGATTCTCAGAGACTTCACAAATTTCCTTATTTTGGTCGCTCTGGTGATGTCTAGGTAAGTCAAATGAAGTTCGAGATTGAAGGAGTACTACGGTAGGCGCCTAAATAAGGCACTAAGGGCGTGGCATGAAATAAGCTGACGTCGTAGCCCAATACAACTAGACGGGGATATTGTATTGTTATTACAGGGTCCTGGAACGAGAACTGCATTATACTAATGAGCAGATGTTGAACAGGATCTCAATAGGAGGTCAGAGGTTCTCAACTCACGATTTGCGGCATTACTTAGTTCTCGCGTTCTTATTTCTCTCAATCTCCACCCCCCCCCCCCCACACCAGCCCCCTTCACTATGGCGTAAAAATTACGAACTAGACTAAGGGTCGTTATTGGCTTCTCTCTCCCTCTTCATCTGACAATACTTCCTTATTTTCTTTATGATACGTAAATTGTTTTTTTATTGATTCTAGGCCTCCAAACCTGCAATGGACATGCTTTCAGTAGCCGCAGCGTGCAATTCAATGCTGTACTCTATCCAGATCGGGATATCTCCGTCTCGGTGGCGCGATCGTCACTCTCATGGGTTTGGTTGTCGCTGTTCACTACCGACCTATCCAGTTAGCTGATTTTCTTTTTTTTTTGTTTTTTTTTCTTACTTTTCTTTCATGCTCTGAAAGAGTTTTTTGAAGGTCGAAAGAGTCTGACACTTGTAAAAAAGCGTTCCTGGGCTCTCCGACGTCTTACTGTAACTATGTTGGCGAGTATGGGAACACCTCGTGCCCGTCACAGTCCACAGCTGGTTATCTTCGTCCTGGAGTATTTCGTGCTTCTCAAGGTACAATTACATGTTAATGTTTCTGATGGCACGAGACTTGGAAATGTAATAAAAAACCTTTAATGAACCACTTCAGCCCCCCCTCCCCATACCATATTGCGCTAGCGCATCAATTGTTGAGCTTGTAGGCCTGTATTGCGTTGACTCAAAGTTCGTGAAGAGTTTAAATGTATCTATCTAGGCACGGTTTTTCTAGAAGAATTTGTTTCCCTTGAAGTCTTCTTTTCCCTGGAAATAAGGTTCTATACCAATCTCGGAAGCTCGATCAGAAACAACTAATACTGTATTTTCCTTGTAGCATTTGAAGCATTCTGAACAAAAACCTTTATCAGTTAACTGATCCCGAAATGCTGTAGGTCTCAGCAAGAATCACACCCTGAGCAACTTAGGCAACTTAGCCACTTCCATGATTGTATCAACGTGAACCTGTCGAATACAGACACGCCAAGTCGCTCAGTATTATGAACTTGTTGATCGTTCACCTCTACTTCAAACTCGTTCCTTCAAAATCGTCCTAAACCTGGATCTATATCACTGGCTTTCGCACAATTTTTTTGCGACTTCAATCGACCTTGGCCGATCCATTCGCGTCTTGCCAAAACAGCGAATCCAGTTGATCAGGAGGCGCAACAAGAATATGGAAATTACTAGATGTATACTCGCTGGTCACAGAGTTCAGGTATTGATTATTCAAAGCTTATTAAATCTTCGTGTTGCTAGATGTCGGCCTTTTTGGTACAGTGAATCTGTGTTCAGGACTAGTAAGTCCCCTTTGAAGAGCAAATGGCATCATTCCCGCATGAAATTAGGCATAAAAAGTAATGGAAATGAGGAATAATTAAAGGAGTCTTGCACGAAGAATTCTTCCAATCTTTCTCATCACCGAAGTAGCATCAAGTTCCGAACTTTCATGAAAAGTTTCCAAACGAGAAATAAACCACATTCTGTGGAGGTCGCGTAAGATGGCGCGGGACAAAAGGCTTAGAAAGAAGGCGTGTCGGAGAGGCCAGGCGATGCATTGAAAGATCGAATCGAAGCGTTCGAATTCTGAGAATGGGGATAAAATGATCGAAGAAATAGGATGCACTGGAAGAGAAAAATCTTTTGCTAAATGTGGAAAGGCGAAAACGTTTGTAGTGATGCCACTCCAAGAATGGGTGGGTTCTTGTCACCACATTTGTGGCAAATGTGCGGCGGGGATTCGAACGCGCCTCAGTCCTCTCACCCCCTCGCATTATTTATCAAAAAAGCCTTTGTAATTTCTCGTTCTTTGACTATTATTAGTCCAGCTAATCGATTGATGGGGCAGGCCTGACAAAAGGAGCGTCTTTCGGGACTAGTCGTCCTTTGGAACGGTTGGTGATATTTTTAGGCGACGCACACAAAACCATGTTCGTTTTCGCTGAACGGTTTAGTAGTACCAAAAAAAGTGGTGAATAATACTGATGGTTCAATCCCCCGCGGCGACTAAATTTTGCAATCAAGGTTGGCGGCCACTTGTTGGCTTCAAAATGGTCCTGACGATGAATTTGACATCTGATTTTGATATTTAGCGCGATTTGGCACCAAACCGTAGGCGCCAACCCAAATGCAAAATTTAGTCGCCACGGGGGATCGAACCCTTAACAGTACCTTATGCTTCTTTTTTGGTACTGCTACAACCGTTCAGCGAAAATGAAAACATGGTTCCTGCGTCCCTCAGCTCCCTACAATATGCACAAAATCGTTTTGAAAAAGCGCACCTTGCCCTGAAAGACCTACCTTGTGAGTGGTGCTCTCGTCGTGGGCGATATCTTTACGGGAGGTTCAAGCACCTGCAGATCACTTTGTTTCCGCATTCTACTATCGTGTTATTCGCAGTTTTTGAATGCGATGTGGCCTATACAATGACTTGCGGGGGCCAGCCGATGTACAAGTCAGTGTTTTTATCCTCCCAGACAAGTCTGGTACCAATTAACCGACCCCGGAGGGATGGAAGGCTTGGTTGGCCCGGGCGACTCACGACCCAGGATTTGATCCCCGGACCGCTCGCGTGGTAAGCGTGCCACTTGCCACTACACCACTTCCGCCCCTTTACTTTTTTTACTTTTTTTTCTACTTTATTTTAGTACTTTTTTTCTGCCCCTTTGAGGTTTGTGCTATAATTTGTCCTGACCCACACTCTAAGAGAGGGGTAGTCATCTTAAGAAACGTTTAACCCATTTGTAGAAGTGCTTTTTTCAGTTTGCGTCCACCACTTCCACCTCCACTTACACCGCTATTCTTTTTCTGCATGGCCTGTTGCCGAGCTGGTGGACAACTTGGCGGTATGATGTCCACCTATCCAGATCATCCAGACGTTGACCATCGAGAACGGTAAGTCGGTACCACGAAAAGCATGCTGCCTGGAAGCACAACTTTATGTCTACTACTGACCGTACACCTACTGCGTTCAGGGGTCGTTCAAACGTGCGATTTGGGTCCGTCTACCGTAATCCGTCAGTACCGGCAAAAAAGAACGAATTCGTGAATTCGTTCTGGCGTCAGCTGATGATCGATCGATGGAGAGAGGAGACACAAGTGAAGACTGCCGATATTGGCAACGCTGATACCAAGATCATCCAGGTACCCAAAGAGGCTTATTGATTTTTTGAGCCACCTCAAGCAATCTTAATATATCTCACAAAAATTTTCAGCTATTTACATACATTGTCATGACTCTAATATATGTCCCAAATTGTGTACTTGCATATTCCAACTGTTTGGGTGCTGAAGCCCCGCCCACGTGGGGCGGAGCTTTCACCATCCGCGGTTTTTTGTTTACTGACTTATTGTTCCCCGATTTTTTCCCCGCGATGATTCTTTCTAGCTTCTTGTTTTTCTATTCTTTTATTCATCAATACCAGAAAATATTTCAGAATCAACTACGTATGCTGGCACTGAACAACGCCTACTTGGGAGCTGAACGAAGGAGTAAATCCGAGGTACGTACCTTATCAAGATCTCCGTGCCAAGTACGGGCGCCCAGACTACATCCAATTTGTTGTTTGAAAAGAGTTAAGGCCGTTCTACGAGTGCTGGGCATAAGCTCAAAAATTTATGTTAAGGCCGCCTCTGCGTGATTACTGTTAGAATTGCATTTTTCTCCGGCAGGCGTCTGGGCGCGCAAAACCTGGGCATGAGTGTCCACCGGCATGCGTTCATTTTGAGGTTTATCCCCGAATTCAGATGGATTGGTACATACCGGTACACAGAATATTAATATCGCTGTCTGTTCCATCAATGGAGAGATCTTGGCAGGTAGTTCACTTCAAAAACTTCGCTTTGAATCCATAATCGATTAGCTCTGATCAATTATTGATCAAGGTTTTGCTCCCGCGTTACTCACCACCGTTCTACTGTCGTCCAGCAGAGGAATTTCCAACAGACGCCGCGAAGCACGTTGAGGTCGCTACAGAGCAGGTTTGTTCCGATTCTATCCGTAGACGCCGAGTATTGATTGAAATTATTGATTTTCGCCACGCCCACTCCTAACCGACATTGTTGTTCCTAGAACTAAACCCGAAAATTACGGGGCTATTGGCGCTCACACCGGAACAGGCTAATGGATTCTGGCAATAGGATTGGATGCTGGTCGGCCCGCGTGGCTACCCCTGAATTTCCACCGCCGACGACCGTTGACTTCGAGTGTTGAAAATCTCGCGGATCTCTCAGTCGACTGCGATCGAAATTTTAGGCCATTGCCTGTCGATGTGGTCTCATGCCGACGTGCTTTGGAGGCCAATCATAACGTTTTGCTACTCCCTCTTTCTAAAAAGATCTATAATGACTCTATCCTCTTCGATACATAAGGCTTACTGTGCGTAAGAAGTTGAAATCACGAATAGGAAAGACTAACACGTAAGTTGTACAATCGTGTCGCTTCAATTTTCCATTTGTGCATACATTCGATTGAACGGAAAAGTCTCAGTGTTAAGATACAGAATAAACTTTTGAAAATTTTAACGTTTTCCTTGCAGGACATCATAGTCTCTAAAACTAGTTTATTGAAAGTCTCATTAAAAGAGTGATTTGATCAAGGTACTGTGTGTGAGCTAATGATCATTTTACGTGCGAACTAAAGGCTGCAACACGGTATGACAAATCTACAAGGATTCAGCTTCCACTGGAGCCCAAAACTGATACTCCGTGTCCGAAATAAGGAACTAGCCCCATTTCGCAATTAGACCCGTTATGAGGCAAGTAGTAAATTGTTTATTTCTCTCCGAGAGAGATAGGAAGCGTATTGGTCCTTCCGAATATTAAAAGAATATGATTGTATCCTAGATCATGAATATGCAGCAGGTAAAGTATTATTATTCGTCACTGTTATATTTTGTCGTGAAGTCTCGCGATGTTAATTGAGGTTTGCTATAGCATGTTAGTTACTGTAGTACTTTTCATAACATCCTTATATGAGACACAGAGAATCTGACTCAAATCTAAGAGTGCGATATAAAAAGTGCTAAGAAAGCAGTCATGTATCGCCCGCTTGCACTACACTGTCTACTTTGGTCTACTCGTTGTTGGTTCGGCGAAAGACAAAAAAACATTTGCTTTCAGCGGGCGCCCTTCTAATTCGCTGAGTTCATTTGAAAGCTCATTTCAAGAGGGAAGCGTGGTTTATAGATGCTCTAGTATCAGTCATCTCACGAGAAACGTAACGTGCTGGCTATTATCCGGTATTACCAACAATCCCACTGCTCGGGCCACCGAGCTGATGACTTTTTCCCATTAGAGCACGCACTCTGAGTAGACTCGTCACCATGTATCCTCGTTGTTACTGCACGTGCGTACGACAACGTGAGTTGCACCCTGACTAACTGACACAATGCCCCCCGTCCTGAATCTCAACGGTGGCCAGCCTTTGAGTTGCATCTCAGGACACACTCATGTAAGGACTAAAGCAATCCACCAAAAAGATCTTCTATATAACATCCGTATGAGAAGTCTTTGCAAAACCAATCATAATAAACCCATTCACATGCTGTTACAATTTCTGGATGAAACCGAGTGTGTGGCCAACCCTTGTAAGGGATTATTCAATAATTCACCCCGTCGTTGTTCTGGCAAGTGTTCTAGAATTAGCTGCTCAACTACAAGAATAGGGACCCTACTTTTTCTAAAGATAATTAGATTTGCTTTATCTTTATCAAATTGAAAAACTTTCGCATTTCCGAGTGTCATGACTTTCATATATGCCACGATAATCGTTTGGCAGTTCACCTGCCTGCAGTTTCACAAAATTCAAATCTGGACGTCAAAGGAATCCAGAAGCAACAAAACATGGCCACTCTTTTCCTTTTCACTACCCACCCTCCCGCCCTCCTTTCTCACTTTTCACTCAGGAGAAATTTAGACTAAGGAAGAACTGGTTTCTTTTGGTGGAGCCCTTTGCGGCCGCTCTGCTGACCATTAGTCCTATTTTCACTATCAAAAAAGGCGAGTTTTCAGGGCGAATTTCCCTGGGTGCAAAGCTTGTTCCGTATTCTTGTCGAATGAGAGACTTTTGGGTGTAGAATACGATTAATTAGGGCGACCGCTTTCCGTTTGTGTTCTTTTGCGGACTTTCATTCGAACGTCGGCTTGACAGGCAACCAACCATCGGTCAATTTCGGATATTGGAAACCGCGATCCAAGTCGTTAAGAAGAGATTGGATTTGACTTCCATATCGGAGGCAAACGTCCAGCAGAATGTCCACAGGCGCCCAAGTTGGGGTGAGTTTCATATTATTCTGGTTCCCTTTACGCTTATTCAAGATGGATTTGCTGTAAAGCTCCTATTTTCAGTCCTGGGTCATCGTGACATTTGTTTTAGCAGCATCCTTTTATTTTTATAATAACCATAAATTTCTTACCTTATGTGTACACGGCGGACTCTTTCGACGAACTTTCTCTGGCGATTCCACCGTCAGGTAAGATTTAGTTTATCATCGAAACGTTTTTGTTTGATGACCTGTTTCATTGTGCGTGAATGAGAGTGATTCTCAACAGATGACTGAGAAAATTCCCCTAACAAGGAAAGAATTGTAGGTCGCCATGGCCTTTCAAAGAGAGACGATACATTCAGGTGTGCCTCCAAAAGCTGATCTCAAAACTACCTTCCAAATCTGTTCAACGGTTTTTCAAACGGAGTTATGAAGCGTAACTCCAGGCACTAGGTAGGCAGGTTATTGAGTGGGGAAGTGGATTTATCGTGTCAAGGATTGAGAGGTGGGTTGACTACTCGTCATCTTGAAACCACCAAGTCATGTGCTACTCATATAAAAACCCGCCGCTCATGCCCGTGGACTAGCTGCTTATGTGTAACGACTAATAACGTGATCATCAACATATCAAACTCGATACATAATAGCCGCTGTGATAATGGTAGCAGGTAATGAGTTTAATCGTACGAATAGCAGATCTCTGATGAAATGGAAAATTCTATGGACAGCTGAGGCTTCAATCTCAAAAAGATTTACGGAATAGGACGTCGGGCCAGCGTCCTAAGCTGGGCCGGGGCTCAGTCCAGACTGGCCATGTCGCCCACTTGGTCGATTCGCTTCCCGTACCCACTACCATGGCGATTGTATTGTGGCGTCATTCGTGTGTCAGAGCAGGCATCATATGCTATCTTAGCAATAACCGTGTGACAAGCGCATTGGTACAGGATGCCTTTTTTTGTATGGGCTCTGCCTCGGCGGCCATACACGCGTCACACAATATGCATCAGAACCAGCTAAAATATTATTGATCGGTGCGCTACATATAGTTACCTGGTTTTTCCAGGAGAATGCGTAGATGAGGGTGATCTCATCAGAAACTTATTAGACATTTACCATGTGTGAATAATGTATTTCTAATGCGGTTCAGCTATTGTCGTTGTCAAAATACAACTGACTGACCTGCTGAACATTAGATGCCTTACAGCTCCATTAGCGGTAATTCGATTGAGTGGTCAGGTCATAGCTGCCCTTGGTGAAAACTCACTTCTGTTCTTCTTGCCTACACAAAACAAGCTTACTGTGGATTTTATTTGCAAATATGTTGCCTTCAAACTTTTTGTGCGCGAACACTTGCTCTCTCCGACGAGCTACATGGCTGTATGGTGCGGCTCAGAATCGCATTCCATGTATACCGGTCAAAATGCTGGCTTGTATTCGCGGGAGCCGCTAATTTTAATATCGAAGTATTTCAAACGCGTTTTTCTATTCGTTTGGGAAAGCCCCGATGCGCCTGACGTTCCCCCACAGTAAAATCAGTTGCAGCCGAAGATGCATTTGTGTGTGTGGAACACTTCATCTGACGTGCGAAAATTCCGGTAATGTCTTGTATCCATGTTTCTTTCAAATTATCTTCCCTGGTCCCTAAGAAAGAACAGTATTCATACTGCGCGATTCAATCATCTCGGTACTTTTGTTTCGAAACCAACCGGCTTGGCGGCTCTCTTTATTTCATTTTTCCGTTGTATGTTTCTCTCTTATTTTTGTGACTATAAGGTACTGGTGGAAATAAAAGATTGCAAATTTGAGATGATTGATTTTTTTGTATGTTTATTCGTAGAAATACTCTTAGGATATTCAACGATTTAAGTCTGAATATACAAAGTTATTCGAATTCAAAGTCGGCGTTCAGACGGACGTGTTTCTCGAATATTCGTATTTCTGAGTCACCTGAAATGAATAATGGTCGATTATCTGGAGATGAAGAATAGAGAAGGAATTCAAGTGCAGGAGTAACAAAACCTGGTTCGCTTAAGTTGTACAAGGTGATATCTTGTAGATAGGGTAGGTGTTGGTGTTGGGTTAAGCGAAGCTTCGGTATGAAAAAGGTGTGGAAGAGCATTCCCTCATAAAGCTTGACGTGGGGAGCTGTCCGCGAAAGAAAAAAAAAGCAATAGAAACCCACGTCTACGCCCACGTATGGGAGCTCGCCATTTCAGCCTTCCATCTCCACCTCCCAGATAAAGGGGCGTTGTTGGACGAGTTTCATCCTAAGCTCCAGTGGCTCCCATGCCATTGACATTGAGCCGCAATGCATCCTCTGCCGCAACTACACCCACGCTTTTCAAGCAGCGAGCGCCACGTGGCAACCGACGCGGAGGGCGGGGCTTGCGACGAAGGAGTGGATTGCGGAGCGAGCCTTGCGCACTTTCAAGTCGCCCACTACGAAAGCACTCGTTCTTGCCAACGCTGACTCCGTCTGTGTCCCTGACGAGCCTTACTCAAAGACAGCATCTCGTACTGCGACAGATAGGTCGCTTCTGTCTGGTACTCTTTCTCAAAATCTATAATTATATTAAGTGGAATGTATGAATAGGGGAATCGAGATTTTCTCTGTCCACATAGTATGCTCATCCATACGTACAGTTAGATGGCAGTTTAATTAACAAAGTATACTCGAGCACGTCAGTTCCCACATTAATTATTTGCTTTCAG